GTAGAAGAATATAAAAGTAGAAGAAAAGAAGAGTAGAATTGAGTAGAATTGAGTAGAATTGAAAAGAATTGAGTAGAATTGAGTAGAATTGAGTAGAATTGAGTAGAATTGAGTAGAATTGAATAGAATTGAGTAGAATTGAGTAGAATTGAGTAGAATTGAGTAGAATTGAGTAAAATGAAAAAAGAAAATAATTAAAGAAAGGAATAAAAGAAAAGAATGAAGGAAAGAGCGAGAGAATGAAAGATTTAAATAAAAAACCACTTTTTTTATTCTTGATCATTAGTCAGTTCTCTAAAGTCAAAGTTCCACAAATCCGGTGTGGTTTTTCCTCTAATTGCCTCTTCCATCCATGTACAATGTACATGTATTGTGTAGTATATTCTCAATACAATAGTTGATAAAAGACTGATTGAGGGTAACAGATTTAGACAAGTTAGTCTATGTTCACCTGCTCCGACTATATTATGTATTACTCGTTACATCATCAAAACCACGGATAATCTTAATGTTTATAGCATGTGATCTATGACATTAATTTTCGTTTTTGTTGGCTTTTTTATTTTTATTAATTTTTGTTATTATTATTATCGTATTAATTTTGAAATTGTATAGGGTAAAGAGATAGCAGCTTGTGACCTAGGATTAGCCCAACCAACAATAGCTCACATGGCCCTGTTTATGCTTTATAAACAAGGGAAAATATCTCATATTGTTTCACAGAATTGTGACGGATTACATCTCAGGTTTGTCAGTGTTGTCAACTTAATTCTTAAAATTCAAACAAATAAAGGATTAAAAAAAATTCAGAATTTTAGCTTAAAAGTTGACTAATTTTTTGCCTAATTTTGATTAAAAATAAAAATTTAATTTGTACAAGTGACTGAATTTTAATCTTAATATCGTTGTATTCGTCATAAAATTTTCATTCTTTATGGTTAGATTTTATTAGCATGCCTTCAACCCAATATCAGCTAATGATTGATGTTATTGAGAACATAGTTATCGTGAATGTGAACCCAAGTTGCATCTTTTTTAACAAGAATATTATTTCTCAGATCTGGAATTCACAGAAACAAACTTTCTGAGGTTCATGGAAATATGTTTATTGAGGTAAAAATTCATTTCAAATAATTTTCGGAAATTCTCTTCATTTCACAACATTATTTAAGCTTTTTTTTTATTTATTAAAGTTTTTGAATTACTTCAAGGAACCCCATTTTCAAGGAATGATAGTTGCCTGCAGTCATTTATATTATTTTTATAATTGGTTTCTTGTAGGAATTACTGTGGTATAATTATGAATCTGTATTTGAAGGTTTTTTCATTTTTATCCGACTTTTATTCTCCATTCATTCAAGGATTTTTCCCTGATGGTTTATATACCATGTTGTTTCTGTCTGCTATTTATTCTATATAAGTACTTTCCTTGTCTATTTGTCTGTCTGTTTGTATAAAATAAACGTTTAAAAGGTTGAACCGATCGGGCCTAAATTTTGTGTGGGACCTTGCATGACCCCAGAGATGTTGTATTGATGCTCAAATTACAAAAGTTTGTGTATAAAAGTATTTGATTTTTGTTAAATTTCGAAAAAAATATTAAATCTGCAAATTTTCTTGTTTTTGGTTCATATTGTATACATAAAGATGATGCTCACAGTTAAAGCCACAATTAAAAAATTAAATAGAAAGCCTAGTTTATTTAACATTTTATTAATATCAAATTCAGGTTTGCAAGACTTGTAAGCCGGTTCGACCGTATGTACGCCTCTTCGATGTAACCGAGCGAACAAACAGGTTCCGGCACAGTACACGCCGGCGCTGTTATATCTGTGGTTCCGGTCTGATGGACACAATCGTCCACTTCGGTGAGCGGGGGACCCTGTCCTGGCCGATAAACTGGAACGGAGCGAGTAGAGCGGCCGAGAAGGCAGATATGATTCTCTGTCTTGGTTCTAGTCTCAAGGTGAATCTATAATATTTAATTTATATTTTTAAAATCTTTTCTCCTCTCTCAAAAAAAAAATATTTTTCCCTTAATATAATTGAAATATTTGTTTCATTTTTTTCCTTGAAACGAAGAATAAAGAATTTAAATCTTCGAAACCAATTTCCAACATTTTTTAAGGAAACTTTTTAACCTAAATGATTATTTTTAGGCAACCTTTCGTATTGAGAACCAACAGACAAAGCCAAAAAAAAATTTATATAATTAATTCTTTTATTTTTTAATTTGATTTATAAAGGTGTTGCGTCGGTATCCTTGGCTGTGGTGTATGGATCGACCTGTTAATAAACGTCCGCCGTTATACATCGTTAATCTACAATGGACGCCGAAGGATTCTGCCGCCACACTTAAACTTAACGGAAGATGTGATTTTGTTATGAATGAAGTTCTGAAGTAAGTATAATTTCAGACATTATTTTTTATACAGTCATAGGTTATTGAGTCCGCTTTAAGTGGGACCTATTTTTACTGTAATAATTTACTTTATATTTAGTTTTTAAAAATATTTGAAATATAATTTGCTGAAGTAAATGATTAATTATTATTTTCAATATTCTATGCCTAGGGTAATTTTTATTTTGGCATTATATTAATAACAACAAAAATATAGACCTGAAAATAACGTTTTCTTTGAGAAATAAAAAGAAAAACGTATCGTTTATTTTCTTGAAAAAATTAACGCTTAAAAAAAAAATGTCGTGAAGTTTATGACAAAATTTGTTTTAAGACTTCTGCGCATGCGTTTGCCTGAGTATACACCGTACAATGATCCTCTTCTCTCATATTCAACTCATCTTAATGAAAGAGAGGAGCATACCACCACCAGAAGGTAAACAGGACAGAACACCTGCTAATTAATAATCTGAAAATTGTAAATTTTTCTTATTTTGTATCATTTGGAAAAATTCAAATGGGTGTGTAATAAAATGCACAATTCTAAAGTATTTCGGTGTTTTTTTTACATTATCGTTAGTCCTTAAGAATGGAAAGTTATCTTGAGAAATGAGCTGAATTGGGAAAAATAAATAATTCAGATGTAAAAATATTAAAAAATAAATTTTTGGGATAAAGGTGTCAAAAATAGGGGGGAAACTTATTAGATAAAATTTAAATTCCCCTTAGAAAAATTGGGAAACTGAAAGAAAAAATATTTTTTTTAGAACTTTGATAGAATCTCGTCCTGTTGGCGTCAATCATATCTCTATGGAGGCGAGAGTAAGTGATACCGGCGTTATTACGGAGGTAAGAAAAAAGAATTTCTGTTCTCTCTCTCTCTCTCTCTCTCCCCCCCCCCCTATCATTAACGGGATTTTACACTTGTTTAGATCTATGAAAAATAAACTATTGCCCCAAAAATCAATCTAAAAGATTAATTCAAAGGTCATAATATGACCACAGATTATTGTGGAAATAACGTTATCGCAAGAAGTTATGGGTTTCTTAGGATTTTCGTGTATTTGTAAAATATTTTCCGTTTTTTAACAAGATGAAATTTACTTCATTTTTTTTTTATTTATAAATTGAAAATCAAGCCCATTTGGCAAAACATTTATTTTTTCAAAATCATTATCAACCTTTTTTCCCTCAAGGACATCTTTGTCTCTAAGGGTTAGATAATCTCCTCATTTAATCTTTTCCGGTTTCAGGTTCGGTGTGAAAGCCGGTTTACGACGGCCGGTGACCAATTCCGAAGTCGGTCTAGAGACTCCGAGAGCTCCGTGTCCAGTTCATCCAACTCATCTAGTAGCAATTCATCCAGTAATTCATCTAGTAATTCATCCAGTAATTCATCTAGTAGTGCATCATCCAGAAACTCGAGCACGGAACGAACAATAAAATCACAAATTAAATCTGAACCTGATCTAAACTCTGCCAATAGCAACGGGTTAAACGTCTCCGATAACAGTGTATCACTTGTTACAAACGGTGTCAAAGAAAACGGTCCGACAGTCAACGGTCACGGCTTGACAGAATCTCCTGGATCGGTTCAAACTCAAGAAACTGAGCTTTTTACAGAAACCAAATTCATGAAAACTGAATCTGAACTCCACCTTGAGAAGAGTAAAACTGAGGTTCATTGCAACGGTATCAAGGAGGAGTCCGTGGACATGTTCTCTGTAGTGAAGGACGAGGATAAAGATGCGTGTCGTCAGGAGGAAGGAGGAGATGATAAAGAAAAGACTAAAAGTACAAGAAACCAAAGCTGTGATAAAATTGATGAAAATCCTCACCAGAAAATTCAAGGTAGGGTACTCACTGGAGAAATTGTATAGATTTATTTCATTATTATAATATACATCCTTTCATTCATACTCCTCTGAATTAAAATTTGTATCCCAATCCAAAATTTGTTGTCCCTTTGTCTTTACCAAACCTTTTCTAAACCTTTGATATTTCAAACTTTTCCTCTTAAATCATGAGTATCAAAGGTTTACGACATAAGGTTTCAATGATTTATGAATTAGAAAATTTAAGTTTCATGTACGAGTTATCAGTGTCATTAAAATGATCATGGCGTCGCTAATATTCCTTAGTGAAGTATCTCAGCTAAATAATTTTTTTTAATGCAGTGTGATAAATTGATTGATTGATTGATTTACATTTAGACCAGCGTATCTATATTCCCTTCTCCTGACCTACCAAATATTATTTGATTGATTAATATTTAGACTAGAGTGTATCTATATTCCCTTCTCCTGATCACACCTACCAAATATTATTTGATTGATTGATATTTAGACTAGAGTGTATCTTTATTCCCTTCTCCTGATCACAACTACCAAATATTATTTGATTGATTGATATTTAGACGAGAGCGTATCTATATTCCCTTCTCCTGATCATACCTACCAAATATTATTTGATTGATTAATATTTAGACTCAAGTGTATTTGTATTTCCTTCTCCTGATAATACGTACGCAATAGTATTTGATTTATTTATATTTAGACTCGAGCGTATTTGTATTTCCTTCTCCTGATATATGTACGCAATATTATTTGATCGGCTGATCGATTGATTTAAATTGAGACTCAAGCGTATCTGTACTAAATTTCCTTCTCCCGATCATACCTACGCAATATTATTTGATTGATTGATTGATTGATTTATAATTAGACTCGAGTGTGTCTGTATTCCCTTCTCCTGATCATACATACGCAATATCTCCTCTGAAACAGAAAGACGAAAACCAACTATTTGGCAAAATTCAAACTGTTCAAGGTTAGAAAACCAAACATGAGTATTATTGTAGAATTATATTTAGTAGTCAAAAAATAATTTTTGCTCAATCATATTTTTACTTTATTGTAATGCACGTGTAAATGTTGTCAACGGTATTTTAAGTAGTTCCTCCATTAATAAAATGCCGAAAACGATTCACAATAGAACCTTCAGAGGACCAATAGCGGTTAACAAAATTGGACGAAATTGCTAAATAACACAATCACTGATTTGTCGTTGTTAATCGTTGATGATACTGGGTAGTTTGAGGACTTTTTCAGACTTTAACACTTCAAGTTTTCAAATCGACAATATCTTCCACATTATTAATCAAATATAGGATTGAAGGGTACCGTTCTCAATCGGGCAGAAATTGAACTTAAGATTACAACAACAATCCCGATCTGTTAATTTATTCTTTTTTAGTAAAAAAAGAGGATATTCTTGAAAATTCTCCGGAGGTTGAAATGAAAGTTGAACCCCTAGATGCCCAGGAACCCCCTCCTCCTGTAGCAGTTCGAGCTTCAAGATATGGTTTAAGGGAGAGAAGAACTCAGAAATATTCTCAGTTTGACGAGGATTATTTTATCCAATGTCAAGAGCAGGAGGAGGAACCTTTAAAGGTGAAAAATACCTGTTAAGTAAGGGGTTAATTGGTTAAGCCATTTCGAAAATTAATAGAAACAACTCGACTGACAAGACAAAAATATTAAGACAACAATTTTCTATGATAGTTTGAGTTTTATTAGGATTAATATTACTTTTTCTATTTATAAATCATATTCACCCTCTCATAAAAAATGTTTGTTTTATGTTAATTTATTGTTTTTTAGAGAAAACAAATGCGCTATTTAGAGCAAACGATTTTTTTTTAGAAATAGGAAAAAGGGTTGTCGGTAAAGTTTTATTTTTACGTTGTATCCAGATGATTTTGTTTGTACTTTTACCCTTGTAGGCTGTGACTGTCAAGAATAATGTTCGGAACGGGAAGGATGGAAGGTTATCATTAAAGGAGGAATTCAAGAAGGATGGGAAGGAGGCTGTGAAGGGGAAGGTGAAGGAGGTTGAATACAGAACTATAGAGTGGGGGAAGGATGCTCTTTACTTCAGTTATGAACCTAACTTCTTATTCCTAGGTATAGTTTTAAATTCAAATAAACAACCAAAATTAAATGTCTTTTTGTTACCAAATACACTAAGATCTGGAATCATAACTGGGTTGATTCATTGGAACTTAAACGGAGGGAGCTCAAGCCTACAACCTAGATTGAAGGTTTGACAGCGAATATTATTATTATTATTATATATGATAAATATTACTCGTTACAATTTTTGGTTTGGTCCTAAAACTTTGGAAATCAATAATTTGGTTCAAAATAAACAGTTTAATATTGTAAATTATTAGATGATGAGGATGGATATGTTTGTGAATGCTGTGACCCTGCCTCCGGTAAAAAAGGAACCTCGTCGGAGGATAATTCGGAGGCTGAGGTCGAGGAAGAAACTCCGGAGGTTAGTTGAAAGTTTTATTTTGTATGTTTTTTATGTATGGCCTATCTGCTTACTATTCATCCTTCGTTTACTTGAGAATGAATTCCCGGGCTCACATTTAAACTATTCATTCTTGATTTATTTAATGCTTTGAAGGATCCATATTGAAACCATCAATTGTTATTTTTTTAAATGTTTCTGGGATTCTTTTTTTAAATGTATTTCAAGGTCTATTTTTAAGCTATTTATTCTTCATTTATTTTAAAATGTTTTCCAGGATCCATATTTAAACTATCCGTTCTTCATCCATTGGAAAATGATTTTCAGGACCCATTATTAAGCTATTCATCCTTCATTTATTTGAAAGTGTATTCCAGGAACCATATTTAAGCTATCCATTCTTCATTTATTGGAAAATGATTTCCAGGGCCCATATTTAAGCTATTCATCCTTCATTTATTTGAAAGTGTATTCCAGGAACCAAATTTAAGCTAATCATCCTTCAATTGTTAAGAAATGTTTTCCAGAAACCATATTCAAGCTATATACATCCTTAGATTTTTTAATGTTTTCCAGGGTCCATATTTAAGCTATCCATTCTTCATTTTAAAATCTATTCCAGGGTTCATATTTAAGCTATCTTCATTTGTTTGGAAAATCCAGTAACCATATTTAAGCTATCCATTCTATATTTGTTTGGAAATGTATTCCAGGGTCCATATTTAAGCTATCTTCATTTGTTTGGAAAATTCCAGTAACCATATTTAAGCTATCCATTCTATATTTGTTTGGAAATGTATTCCATGGTCCATATTTAATCTATCCATTTTTCATTTGTTTGGAAATGTATTCCAGGATCCATATCAAAGCTATCCATTTTTCATTTGTTTGGAAATGTATTCTAGGAACCATATTCAAGGCGTTGGGACATGTCATAGAAAGACATTTCATATAACAATATCATAAATAGGACATTTCTTTGATAATATAGTCCATAGATAGGACATTTCATAGATAAAGACATTTCATAGATAAGACATTTCATAGATAGGACATTTCAGTTCGTAAATTTCAAAATTTCATAAATAAAATATCTCCTTTGTCTATGGAAAATCTTCTCTGTCTATGAAATGTCTTATCTATGAAATGTCCGTGTATTAAATGTCTTTCTATGAAATGTTCTTTCTATGAATTGTCCTATCTATGAAATGTCTTTCTATCAAATGGCCCAACGCCATATTTAAGCTATCCATTCTTCATTTATTTGAAATGTTTTTCAGGGCCCATATGTAAGCTATTCAAAGTATCCATCCTTCATTTATTGGAAAATGTATTCCAGGAACCATATATAAGCTATTCATTCTTCATTTATTGGAAAATGATTTTCAGGGTCCATATTTAAGGTATCCATCCTTCATTTATTTGAAAATGTATTCTAGGAACTATATTTAAGCTATCCATCCTTCATTTATTTGAAAATGAATTCCAGAGTTAAAATTTAAGCTATCCATCCTTCATTTATTTGAAAATGAATTCCAGAGTTAAAATTTAAGCTATCCATCCTTCATTTATTTGGTAATGTATTCCAGGGTTAAAATTTAAGCTATCCATCCTTTATTTATTTGAAAATGTATTCCAGGGTTAAAATTTAAGGTATCCAACCTTTTTTTATTTGAAAATGTATTCCAGGGTTCATATTTAAGCTATCCATCCTTCATTTATTTGAAAATGTATTCCAGGGTTAAAATTTAAGCTATCCATCCTTTATTTTTTTGAAAATGTATTCCAGGGTTCAAATTTAAGGTATCCATCCTTTATTTATTTGAAAATGTATTCCAGGAACCATATTTAAAGCGTTGCTTTTTTATATTTTCCAGGGTCCTTCATTTAGATGAAAATGTTTTTCAGGGTCCATATTCAAGTTAAATATACTTTATTCATTTTTTAAATGTTTTCCAAAATCCATGTTTAAGCTTTTTAGTTTTCAATTATTTTTAAAATGTTTTTTAAAAGTTTTGCCAATCATTTTTTAAAAAAAATTTGGGGTTCATATTTAAGCCAACTCCTTGTGTTTAGGATGAGGATGAGAGTGGACAGGACGGAGAACAAGAAATACTAGAGACTCCGGAGATCAAACCTCATGCTCCGGGCTGGTTCGGGAAAGGACGAAGAAAGAGAGGACGGACAAAATAAGAGAAAACAATCTGTATTTTATTTAAATGGGGACAAATAAGAAAAATTCTGGAGCAAAAAAGTTTTTAAAAATACGGTTTGAAATAAATGGACGTATTACTATCCTGTTAAAAAAAGCAGGAAAACGCCAATTTTATTATTTAAAAAAAAATAGATTCATTAAGTTTGAAGTGGCGATATACGTAATCTCAAGTTCCCTTCCAATTATAGAATGGCATCTCTGATTTAGAGTGGTACCCTTCGAACCTTTATCTCCGCAACAATTATTAAAGATATTCTTCTTTTTCTATCTGAAGAAAGATTGTTTTCAATTCTGACGCGTAACTTTTTTCATTGTTTTGATGAAGAAAATAGAGAATTTATATTCTAACACTTTAAATTGGAGAACACTTTAAATTATATCGACAGTCCCTTTAAACATGTAATTATCACTTCTTACCCTTTAACAACTTGACCCGACCTCGCATCCGTTTTAATACAACATCTCTTCTTTTGTCTTTGTAATCTATGGGAAGATAAAATGAAGAATCTTATATATTTTTAGATAGGATTATGATGGAACCATATGAAATACAACGATTATTAATTATGTATTGTATTCTATGGGAAGATAAAACGACGAATCCTATATATTTTTAGATAGGATTATGATGGAACCATATGAGATACAATGGTTATTAATTATGTATTGTTTTCTATGAAATGCAATGATAGAACTGGCTAAATAATTATATTTGGACATAGATCTGTTATGACTGAACTTCGATAAAAATTGTTTATCTCATGAGCATGCCTGCGCCCTGCATGATGCAAGAAATTTTTATTTCTATCATTTTTTTGCTCAATTATCCCTTTGGAGAATACTCAACTTGCATTATACTCTAATTCTTTAATCTGAGATGCAAAACTGTATATCATGAATTACCCCCTCCCCCTCTACTTTCTTGAATTAACAGTGCCAAATTAATGCCAGTCAAAATCCCCTCTAATTATTTTCTTGTTAAGTTTGTAAAATAGATTAAATTCAGCGCTGCCAAATATTGTAAACATGTGTTATATTGTATAGTTCAATTGTTACTAATATACCGAAACTCTTGATATTTTTCATTCTGTAATTTATTTTCTTAGGAGATAGAGGAAAACTAACACAAAATACTATTAAAAAATGTAATTTTTACGAAAGAAATTGAGTCTTTGTCACAAACTCTGATTTTCTAATCCCTTTATTTTTCCAACCCAATATCGTAAACCTTAGATATTTTAAACAAATAATTATGTTAGATGAAATAAGCTGAGTTTGAAATATCAAAGGTTTACACCTTCAAGCTTCAGGTATTATAAAATACGACTTTGTGGCAAAGCCTCAATTCCGGCTCCGCGGCTAATCTTTGTTTACAATTCTCTCAGTAAATCGAGATCACTTCATTTGTAAACACTAAACAAAGCCAAGGGAGTTCCTGGTATGTTCCTTTGGTATTTAAAATATATCATCAATTTGAATCAGTAATTCATTACTACGTTCATTACAACTGTACAGTGTACATATTTAAAGGTACAGACTGGCTAGGTAAAGTAGTTGAACTTATTTCTCAACCTGATGCAACTTGCAAAGCAATAAATTAGTTTCTTGAATAATTTTGTTTAGTTTTCTGTCCGCGTTATTAAATTGAAGAAAAAACTAGTTTCTTCCCAGGACAACTCATCATGAACTATCCTGTCTGGTGAAATTTGACAGACGAGTTTACACTCTTCATCGTTCAAACGTCTTATTGGTATCAAATGAATCATAAAATGCTTATCTACGGTGGTAGGCGGTTTGATCAATAAAATGAAAATGACTTTTTATTAAGTTTTAATTGCTATCAAGCTTTTACAAAGTTCTAAGTTTACTAGTAATTAAAGAGAAGCTTTTTTAGTTGACTGCTTCTCATTGTTTCCATGTTTTTGTGTTCCCATGCTGTTTAAAAGCTTGATATAAATAAAATTTTAAATCTCAAGTCGTCTTTTATATTGATATAACCGCCTACTGCTATATAATACTGCAGTTTCAGTTCAACTAAAAGGTGTCCCACGAAAAATTGCATGCCACTAGCAAGACGTCGTCAATTTGATCTATGAAATAATTTGTGGTATTTAATCGTAAATCTAATTTTAGGAAGTAAAATTGAAATTGTAATAATAAAAAAATAGTCCCAGTCTTGGCATTTCTAAAACGTGGTCTGCCTTTTTATCCTTTCAATATTATTCTAATAAAATTGAATTATAAAAATTCTTAGGATCTCCGGTAATATTGGCAGCAAAAAAAAACGCTGATGTGTTATGTTCTAAGAAACATACATATTAAAGTAGAGATTAATAAAAGCTGTCACTTCTTTTATAGCCTTACAAGCATTTTCTCACGAGGCAAGAAATTTTTAAATATTTAAATCAACATAATATAATATTAAGTTGATAGTCTTGTTCTTTTATATTTTATTAACAAAAGCAATGAGCAAATAAGTGTGGTATAAATTATGTAAATACAGTGCAATAAAACAAATAGTTTTTTTTTGTGAGATTCAGAAAACACAGATGTGTGTTTCACATTTTACTGGGCAATTGTAGCACCAGACTTGAGGACAAATCGTTTACTGGGCAATTGTAGCACCAGACTTGAGGACAAATCGCGCCATTTTCAGGACACGTTGCGCGGCAACAGAACGCATTGAGCGCACAGACTGCTTTAGGATGTTGTCTGAGCGCTTCTGGTTTCCCAAGTTGCCAGCTACCTCAATCTTTAACAAGAATACATATTTAACAACTAAAAACGCAAACTAAAAAAAAAAATTTTATGGATTTATACCTGGTCGGGTTTTTCGAAGACGACAGATTTTACGTGAGCTGACCCATCTGCCTTGACCTGCATCAAGTAATATGAACAAGAAATTGAGTTTAAATGGTAAGTTAACTTAAACTATTTTTTCAATTATTTTTTTTTTCAAAAATCATACAGTGAGAACCAGATAACTCTGATATAGTAGCGACTTTTTTAATTGAGTTATAACTTTAAAAAGTCCTATTAATATGAGATACATCAATAGTGCAGTGTAAACAGACCCATTTCACAAAATTGCTACACTGCACTGTCGTCTTTCTATTCCTTGGTTTTTTGGTTTTACATTTTTACATTATTTAATTGTAAACTTTAGCGTACCTTAATCTTCATTTTTCCCTTCAAGACAGCTGTTTTGGCGTTAGCGGATTTTTCACTTCTCTCTTGTCCTCGTCCACTCTAGAATATTAAAGTGTTTAAAGGCTCTTCGTTATGATAATACTTTCAAAGTTTCTTCTAAATTAAAATAAATTTATTTTTATATCTCTTACCGTTTTGGTAACATCAAGAGTAAGGGGTCCAACGGTGAAAGTAGATTGGATCATTTTATGATCTTCAGCGCTGAAGATTTCAACTTGTTCTTCTCTCCTAAACATAGAATTATGTTGGTATAGATTTATCTACAGATGTCCTCTGGTTAAATAAAAAGAATTTATTTTAAAATTAGAATTAAGAATTTTCTTATAGAATATTATAAATCTGACCTTAGTGAAGCTATTCCAGTAAGAGTTCCGACAATTTTTTCAACATCCTTGTTCTTCATTTTTCCTTGTTTTGACTCCTTCTTTCCCTTTCCGTTCTTGTTATTCTCAGCCTTTCCGCTTTTACGATGAGGTCCTCCCATTTTCTTTCCTTCAGCCTGAAAGTTAATGCACAAATCATGACACTTTAATAATGACCTAGTGTATGAATATGACTCTGGATGAATATGAATATGAATATGACTATCTGGATGAATATGAATATGACTATCTGGATGAATATGAATATGACTATCTGGATAAATATGACTATCTGGGTGAATATGAATATGACTATTTGGATGAATATGAATATGACTATCTGGATGTTGAAGGGAAAAATTACTTTTTTGTTATGGTGATGGCTTCTTTGCTCTGTATGCTCTTCCTGGTTCATCTTTTTGGTTTTTCTTTCTCCCTTTCCCTTTGGTTTCATCATCTTGCCTTCCTTCATTTCATTTTTAGCCGCCTTTGCCCTCTGTCTTTCCCCCTTTGCTTTATCTCTTTCTACTTTCTTTGCCGCCTTTTCTTCATCTGACAGTTTTCCCTTCTTACCCTTTTCTTCTTTTTCCTTTTCTTTGCCTTTTCCGTTTCCTTTTTTTTCGTTTCCTTTTTTCTTGTTTTTATTTTTCTTGTTTCCTTTTTTCTTATTTCCTCCCTTTTTCTTCTCTCCTGCGGGGTTTCCTTTTCTGTCAACATCTACTTCATCTTCTTCATTCTCTTCATCTTCTTTCTCCTCGACTGCTTCTCTCTTTGTCATCTTCTTCAATTTTTCTTTCTTCTCTTTCTTCTCATCCTTGTTAACCTTTTCTTTCTTGTTCCCCTCCAGGTTTAAAACCATTGGATCCATAAGTTTTGCTCTCAGAGCTGCATTCATTCTAAATAATTAAGAATTATTTGATTACTTGTAAAATTACGTTTGCTTGAAATTTCTTTTAAATATTCATAACACTATAACTTCGGTATCCATTGCGCTGTAAAGTTTTTGTACACATCGTTCCAAAATTATAGCGTTATGAGTAATTTTATGTAATGTTTGTGTTATTTCATTGATGAAATGGTTATTTCTAGATAAAATTAACTTTTTTACAAAACACAAATAAAAGCCTAAGAATTTAATTTTTTTTATTTACGTTAAAAAAAATTCTAGAAATATCCGAAATTATATGAAGAAAATCCAAGAACCAATTAAACTTTAAAAAACGTCTTAAATGAAATTTGCCATGAATAAAGTACACAAAAGATTTTAAATTACATTTTTGTGAATACCTTCTATATATAGCATCCATATAGTCGTTAAATCTCTTTACCTCACTTGGGTCTGTGTCCTGTAATACAATAATCGATATATATATAAAAAGTAGTAATCGCTGTTTGTCTGTTTGTTTCCCTGATCATAACTCACGAACCCATAAATAAATTTGGCTCAAATTTGGGAACTTACTAGAACCACGGGAATGTTCTTGGCCTTTGGTTTAACAATTCTAATTTTAGTGGGTTGATTTTTACAGAGAAAATCTTTTCTCCAGATAATAAACGATAATAAGAAAATTAAATTTGACAAATTGTGAGAAAGTTTTTAAACCTGAATATATTTAGCCATTGATTCATCCTCAGATAGTTCCGGATCATCAACAGCATTGAGGTTCTCATCCTCATCCTCATCCACTACATCTACATCTCGAGACGTCCTATCATCATCTAAACATGTTTCTAATCAAAAGGAAAGAAACCTTTTTAAAGGGATTTTATACCTAATTCCCACATCAGGTATATATTTCTATAAAGATACAGTGGAACCAACAAAATTATAGAATAAAAGGACGACATTATATCAATATTTTATGTTATTAAAAAGCAAATCGCTTTACTAAAAGCTTAAAAAATCTACTTCTGTACACTGTAAAATGTCAGGTTTCATGTTCATTAGGTACAATCTAACCTCATAAAGTCGTCTTTTTATCAAAAATCACTGCTTCAACTGCGGAAATGTTAATCGCTATCAAACTGCTGAAAATGAACCATCAGGTATATCAAGTCAAAACACCTAAATTTTTTCTTTGGAATATATTAAATGCAGTCTTCTGAGTTATAATCTCAATTTTCAGAAATTTTAAAGAAATTGTAGAAATCAAGAACATTTTCAGGTCTATACTCAAACATAACTGTAGTTTCAATGATTAATCAAGCTTATTCTGTGTTTTTTTGCGATATTTTTAGAACCGTTAATGGCAGGGTCCCCAAACTTTGTGAATTTTCCTTAACAGTCATAAGACATGTTTTAGCAAAAAGCCGAAGCCTTCGGCGAACTGTATAATTGCCTAATTACTGCCTAAAAAAGACTTTTTAAAGTAAAATGAGTAAAAATTACATGAAAATGACTTTTTCGGACCGAATTTTGACAGTCAGGCAGTTGACTGAGGGGTTTGATTTTTTGCTACAATATATGTTTCATGACTGTTAAAGAAAAGTTTAAAAACCCAGAAGAAGCAGATTCAAGTCTTGGAACTAAACTTTCGTTTAATTTTAGACCTGTGAATGTGCTTTATTGCTACAATTTCCTAAGAATTGATTAATAAAACGGTTTTCTTTCATCAATTTATTAAAATACCTCCAAAAAGTGAAACTAGCATTTCTTCTGGGGTTAGGTCATTCTCTTCGTCAGTATCATAGGGTTCAGCAATGGGTTCAGGTTCAGGTTCAGCCTCAGTATCAACATCAACAGCTGCAGCGTCAAGGTCCTGCTGGTTAAACAGATCTTTATAATTATAAATATAAATACCTCTAATTTAGTTAAAGAGGCTGCAAAAATGACAGGAATAAAACACAGAGCCAGTAATACTGCCCTCATCCTAAATAAATGGTAAAAATAATTTTATTTTTATTCTTTAAACAAAAGCGGAAATTTAAATATTAACATTGCGTACATTTTATTTAGTATTTATCAATCTTTACCTGTGTTAAATATATTTATTTAACAATCTATTTATGTGTCTAGTTTATTTATTTACCAATCTATTTATGTGTCTAGCTGTCTATTATTAGTCTATTTGTGTGTAAAGTTTTTTAATGAATCTATTTATGTGTCTAGTTATCTATTTATCAATCTATTAATGTGTCTAGTATATATATTTACCAATCCATTTTCCAATCTATTTGTGCGTCTAGTTGTTGACTTATCAATCTATTTATGTGTCTAGCTGATCTATTTATAAATCTATTCATTTGTCTTGTTGTCTATTTTTCAATGTGTCTAGCTGTCTTTTGTCAGTCTATTTGTGTGTCTAGTTGTCTTTTAATGAATCTATTTATGTGTCTAGTTGTCTACCTATCAATCTATTCATGTGTCTGGCTGTCTATTATAAGTCTATTTGTATGTCTAATTGTGTATTTATATATCTAGTTGTCTACCTATATATCTGTATATGTAGGAGAAAGTTAGCTCATTAAAACCTTGAGTTTAAAAAAGGTTTAATTAGGTTGAAATCATGTGCTACTCAAGCAATGCAGAATATAAATCAACTAGTTTTAATCCTTGGAATAAATCATTACTTTCTCTCTCTGGTTTTATTCTTCGGAGAAGCTAGACGATTTAAGAGGAGGTTGGGGGGGGGGGCGGATGACTAACCGTAATATTTTGAGTTTGAAAAATGAATAAATACTGAATATGCACGACGGCCATTGATTTCAAGGGTTTATACGTGATCGGTTTTCACCACACTTTCTTGGAGCCAGAAAAATATAGTTTATATACATGAAAACTACATTTCCGTTAATTGGATCTTTAGGTGAAAACTAAAGTTTTGAACCCTTAAAAATAACATATGTTCATGTTTAATAAATTTAAGGTTGCAAAATGTTTTCAATCATTACTCCAGTTTTTAAATTGAAGAGATATTGAAGAGAATTTCTTGTAACTGGATAAAAATGGTTTTCGTATACTTGTGTGTAAAATCTAACAGAGCTTTGAGGTCAGAAATATATTTAAAAATAAACCTTATTGAATAGATATGGTTTCCTGATGTATTTAAATATGATTTCGTTTAAAAATATACTCATTGTTCATGATAACCTTTGTTTTAGTATACTGCATGGTTTACCACAGTATATTTTATGTGAGGTGAGACAAACCTTGAGAAGGGTTAAAATCCCTGAGAAGGAAATCGAAATGGGGGGGAAATGCCCGGGGGGGGTCTAAAATAGTTTTAAGAAATGTCTAGTATTTATGAGATGAACAGGACTGAAGTAGCATGTCCAATTCACACCAATTCCCTTGAAACATTTGAACAAGGATTTTTTTTGATAAAGAAAAACGACAATATCTCCCTCATTGTTACTCTGATAGGGTATCGTTGTGAATCAAAATTCCCTCTTTTTGTATTTCGTAATTTCAAGAAAGGTCAGACGAGGTTAAAGAAGGGAAAACTTGCCTCAAGCAGTTTAATGCAGAACTAGATTTATTGCAAGTTATTAGGAGAGAACGGATTCACGCAGAGATGGGAGAAATGGTGGATGTCCCTCACCGTCGAACTCCCCCTCCCCCCTCCAAACAAGAGTCTTTGTTTTATTATTGAAGCGAAAATTAAAATATGTTTAACAATTGGCATGGTTTAATTAACAATATGGAATTTTATCAAGGTGAAATTACTGGATGAAGAGAGTCCCCAGGTCAAACTAAAGATAAGTTCATGTCAAATTTAATTTGTAATGTTTTCAATTTTAGCTTCTTTTTTTGAAGAGCTATTTACAATAACAAAAATGTTTTGAACATTTAAAATGTTACCGAAAAAATTTGATTTTTCTGAACTTGAAACTACGAGGTCACCAAGTTGTACCACTAATATCGCATAAATTTGACCTCCCTCTGTTTATCTGCGTGTGACACAAAGTATAAATAACCCTTAAATATGTATTTTTTGTAACTTTGCAACCTGAGGCCGAATTTAAAGAATTTGAGCGGCGGCTTAAATTTAAGCCGCGGTTCAAATATGGTTGGTGTCACTTAAAATTGTATTCGATGTTTCAGGATTTAAGCCGGCGCTCAATTGAAACCGGTTTTTGGCGGATTTAAGAAGTGGCTCAAATGAATTAAATTCGGACACTAATGCAGTATGTGATAGTTCAAACTAAGAACTATAGCTCGATCTAATAATTAAAGTTTGAAATATCAAAGGTACACGCCATTAGGTTACAAAAATTAAAGAAATTTTGCCCGTATCACTAAAGATATGACTATCTGGATGAATATGAATATGACTATCTTGATCTNCCCCAACTGCGGAATTTTTTTCTTTCCAACTTAAATGAAATATTTTTATGATCTTGATGTTGATTATTAATCTCAGCTGTTTATCTATAGACATATCTAGCCATATCTAGAATATTTAGAATTCACTGAAAACCTAATCCTCGAATACTTCAGAAAAGATGAAATCATCGTTGTTTTTTGACACGCCAGGTCAAAGTGTATCCTTGGCCGAATGTGAAAAACCTGAATCTTAAACTTTCACTCTATATTGTCAGCATGAAAGGGGGTGCGGGGGGTGGTTCTGGCACCTTGCTTGATTGTTTTCTATAAAAAACCAGTTTTTTGAAAACTTATTTTTAAACTTTTATGAACTTAATTATTTTACATTGTGTATGTTGGTTGAAATCGTATTAACCCCCCACCTCCCCACCCCTTCCAACTTTCTTCGGCTTGAAAAATACCACGTAAATTAGAGTAAAAGGGGTCAGATGCGTAGTCAGGGGGGCTATGGGCCGGTGCTGAGCCCCCACTTGGGGACCAGTAAAATCTTTTGATTTCAGGGGTTTTCAAGCCTCAACGGGTGCTAAGCCCCTGGAAAGGAAAAACATTTAAGCCCTCCTCCCTGGACAATTCCTGACTACGCCCCTGAAAATGGTTCGTTGCACTCCAATTCCTTTGCATCTGTTTTATTGCAGTAAGTTTTAAGCCGGAAATTTAAAACTTGGAAACCAGTTAATTTGTATTTTCTATCCTTTCACCGTCAATCAAGCTTACAAGCTATAAACTTGGAGGATAAAGAAGAAATGAGCAAAATGTTCTTCTATTTTGAACCCTTTACAGATCGCGCAACTAGGTTATTTTCTTATGGGGGGGGGGGAGCGGAGATATTGTCATTAATGTAAAAATGTGTAAATTTGTAATGGGTGCTGGTAGTTTAAAAAAAAAATCCTCTAATTTTGAATCTTTCTATGATCAAATCATATCGTGTTTATTATATTCCTTTTTTTAATCTAAAACTTAATTTTTTTCAATGTAGTGAAAGAATGGCAACCTTCCCCAGTTTGCACCTCTATTTATATTTGAATCAGTGATATTCATCATATATATCTTATGTGTAGTGTAGTATCTCAAATATTTAAATTTCTTTGATAAAACTGGCTTGAGTTCTGTGTATTTTAGACTGTGAATCCCCGTATATCCAACAATTCACTTTCTAAATACCTTTCGAGTCTACTTTCTATATATGTAGATACATTTTCTACTTTCATTTTCTACATATAGTTAGCCTTTTACTTTCATTTTTTACATACATAACTTTTTTACTCTCATCTTCTATATAAATGTACATATACGTTTTTTAAACTTTGATTATCTATTTCATATTCAGATACCTATACTTAGTTAGACCCATTATTAACCCCATTTTAACCTTTCACGTTCTACCTTGGTGCTTCAAATTGTTAAAACCCCAATATTACATCTCAATTATAATAAAAAGGTGTTCGGTTCATGATTGAATAATAAGCCNAAGCCCCCCCCCCCCTCTTAAGAAGCTATAAACAGACAAGAAATTAAAATTTTCCGCTGTCGTTATTTAAAATACAAAACAATAAGAATATTTGGTTCTCGGAGAAATCAACAGATATTTTAGTTCAATGTCCATATTTCAAAGAAATCCCTTAAATGGGCTGTTAAAGCAAATTTTACAGCGTGAGGTGAATTTTCATCCAACCCTGGACTAACCAGGGCTAGATGTGTTAGGTTTCTGCAATTTTAACAATATTTAAACTAACAGGGTTTTGATACCTTTTTATTTAAAACGCATCAGCCGACAAAAAGTATAAAAAACAAAAACGAAAATGACAGCTTAATGGGACAAAGATCGAACAGTAATATCAGTGTACATCGTACACGCCACTCCGAGCTGTCCTTATAACCTCTTTATAAAAAAAAACATCAAACTTTCATAGAAAACAACTAAAAAAGCACAGACGAGCATGTAATGGCCACGAAATGTCCCATTAAAAATTAAGAATTTGTCACCTGGACGTTTTCTGATTGTCCCTTGTGTTCAGGTTTACTGGTTTAGTGACCTCAACGCTACTTCAACTCTAAACAACTGAGGGGTAGACTGTGACCCAATGGTTTGAGTGCGCGTGTATTTGACTGAATCGGGTCAGGGGTGTGCGCACTTTGCGCGCAGGACACCAGACCTTCGGAAAACCTTCCTTTTTTCAGAAGATGGCTTCTCTGTAAGAATGATTCGTCCAGATTCAGAAATATCGAATCAATTTAGCGTAGAGGACCTGAAAACAGATTTAAAAGATTTAAAATTACTTAAATTACATGTCTGTTATCCATTTTAGTTTACCACTCTACTAACTGCCATCAATAACAAGTATTACAGGGACGGGGTCTTTGTGAAATCTTTAAACTACATAAGCTATCCTGCTGCTGCATGCATTATTAGGTTTACATATATATTTAATGTATAAATAATATTTTTAAATATTTTTATAATTATTTCTGTAGAAAAATATATGATTTTATTTGATTTGAAACTATATTGTAAGAACTAAAAATAAAAATTCTTTTGTTTAGTACAGTAAAACTTTCTTAGCTCAGTACACTCCTGTATGCCGAGTCCAATAGCGCCTGATCCAATCAGGGTTCAGTTATGTGTTTGTTGTCTATTCTGAACCAATAGAAAAAGCATGACGGTAACATCTATCTTTTTATTCATCTCATCATCCAATCAGAGTTATGAATCTTTCAATCTGCGCTATCAGTGAATGGAAATATTTACTTCTACTGAAACTATAGTGCTCGTAATACCATTTTCTCTAAATTATGAATAACGTTTTTAATCACAATTTGGTGTATATCAACAAAATAAGTAGCCTAGATTATTATGACTTATTGAATGAACACAAAATATGCAATATGTATAATATAATTTGCAATATAAGTTATTTAGAAACTATTTTGTGGTCATTTTGTAGGGCCCACGGTCACATACTATAACATTAACAATGCATTCACAGAAGCCATTAAATAAATAAAATATAAGTTTCTAAGTTTAAGTTCAAAACAGAAAAACTTTTGAAATAAATGAAATACTGTGTAATATTCATATATCTATATAAAATAGAAATATCTGTTTGTTTGTTTGTATGTCCGTTCATAACTCAGAAACCAATTGTTTGATTTGCCTCCAATTTTGATTGAGGAACTCGGTAGAACCACGTGAATGTTCTTGGTTTTGAGATTCTAAGTTGAGTGGGTCCATGATAAGGAAAAAAGGTAAAATCGAAATTTACGATCAAGTGCGGGTAAATTCAGACTTCCATGGTCGTTAAAGGATTCTAATTCGTCAAATTATATCTTACAGAGACTGTAAACATACTTTCTAGTGTCCCTTTAGTTTTAGAATGGCATATTCGACTCACAACGGTATACCTGGCGTCGAGTCCTTTAGCGCCTCATCCAATCAGGGTTCAGTCATGTGTTTGTTGTCTATTCTGAACCAATAGAAATAGTATGGCGGTAACATCTATCTATCTATCAATCTCATTATCCAATAAGAGTTATGAATCCTTATATCAGCGCTATAACAGTAAATTGAAATATTTACTTCTGCTGAAACTTTAGCGCCTGATCAAGTATGAATAAGATATCCTTTATGTTTTATAGGCTGATGTTTTTCATTTGTGGTTTCTCTAAGGAACTGACAAGTACATTTCTTGTAAAATGATATCTCGCCTGAAAGTTTCCAAATCCCTAAATCTTTCCAATCTGATGTTTCAGGCCATAGATAAAAGTCAAATCATTTTTTAATAATTTTTAAAAATGAGAACGCCAAATTATTCCGGGATTAGTCCCTTTAAACAAATGTTCTAAAATATACGAATTTAGGTAAATATTTGGCTTCGTAGAGATCTCCAATACAAATTTAAAATGTTGCAATGCAATAAATATTTAGTGTAAACAATAGAATTTTCTCCAGTATTTTGTGTAATTATATACTATGGGTTCCTTTCCTTCATTTTCAACAACATTAGACAAACCGAGGAGACAATATTAAAGGGATTTGAGACGTAATATGACCTTCCATTTATAAAGTGGAATGTCCTATTCGTATTGATACCCTTTAAATCTTATTCTGAAAAATGAGATATCGATGTTTTCTAGCTAAAAATTGATAATTTTCGATTCCATAGTAATTTCTCTGAAAATGTAAATAGTACAAACAACTCTATATAAAACAAAGGGTCAAATGAAATCACATCTAAAATTGGTTAAACGCATATAAAAAATAATTTTTGACAGTTTTCGTTTTTTCAAATCGTTTATCATGCCGGGAGAAAATTTACTTTTCAAAAAATAAGAATCCAGTTGTTTTTAAAATAATATGACGTAAGTATGACGTTTGATATGAATGAAACGCACGACTTATTGTTCAGGTTCGGTTAATATTCTTAGTATCGCAAAATATCATAATTTCTTGGCCATGAAGTACATCAGAACTATTAGGAATATTTTGATTTTTATTTGAATCCATTGGTCGCTGGTTTTGCAGTCTTGCACGGTAAATTGTCCTGAGCTGAAAACTTTAAAATGGTGGATATTGAGATTAATGCTTTATCTCCTTTTTTTCTTAATCTCCAGATTAAATAATGCTTGTTCTCCAGTTGTTATTAATCTCAAGATTTATTAAAAGATCTGTTAATTAATCTGGAGATTAAATTCATGAGGAGAACAAGCTATATTTAATCTGGAGATTAAGAAAAAGAGTGGATCAAGCATTAATCCTGATATCCACCATTCTAAAGTTCCAAGCTCTGAGCTGATAACTTTTATATTGTGGATATCGAGATTAATGCTTGATCTCGACTTTAATCTTTATTCGATATCTCCGAAGTGTAACTATACCTTCAACGAATAACTGAAATGAAGAGATTAGGCATTTGGTCTCAAATACAAATTTTCCACAGTGGATATCGAGATCAAGTGATCAGGGTTATGAGTATTCAACACAAAAGTTCCCAGCTCCGCTCAAAAGTCAGTGAGCCTTAAATTTGGAATCCAATTTTAAATAAATTCTTTTTTGTATTTGCTAATTTATACTTTTTGAAACTATTAATTCTACATATTAAAGTATTTAGGTCTTTTCATAGATAAATAACTAATCATAGATAGCTTATGTACGTAAAATCACCAAGAATTGTACAGTCCGCGAACTCACACTTGGATTTCATAATAGAGTGTAAAATAACTCCCGGAATGGAACTATTTGAACAACAATATTTCAGTGAGCAATATATCATATTGACGAGAACTGCAGGGGCGTACGAGGGCTTTTTCCTAGGGGGGGCACAATGTGCGCGCGTAAGCGCGAAAAAAAAAATTTGGGTCCCCCCCTTGGCAACATTGTGCCCCCCCCTTAAAAACACCTTTTTTGAAAAAATATTGATACCTTTTTAAATGTTTTTTGCCAACTTGGATTTTTTTTGTTCACCATCAAAATACACCAAAAAGACTACATTTTTGGGTGATTACTAACCTTATCGAGGTTAAGATTATTCCTTTGCTTGAAAAACTAACTTTTTAACTTTATAAATTTATCACTTAACTCCATCACAGCTAACTAAATCAATAATCACAGCATCATTAAAAATTATATTTTTACTAATAAACGAAATTTCTTCTGAAATTTTTAGATAGAATTTACTCAATCTAAATATTCCCCAACTTTTTTAAGCTACAATTTTCTGGAATTTGCTTGCACAAACATTTCAATAATTGATTCAGTGGAGAGCTCAGACAGCCTTATAGGGTGTAAAGCTATAAGTGCAAGATCGTTAAGTCTGCTCTCCGTCATAGTACATCTTGTGTAATGAAGTATTCTCTTTATAAAAGGCTAAAACTTTTCTTTTCTCTCCTTGTATTAACAGTGAATTTAGACAAATCCTTAGTCTTTGTCATTGTCAGGTGTTACTTTTAAAACGTAGTTTCCTTTTAATTTTGTATTTTCCAGGGGGGCAAGAGGACTACTACCCCCCCCCTAGGTACGCCACTGTGCCTGGCCTGAGGAAGGGAAATGCAAGCAGATGTAATATTAAAAGAGCCTCCCCCATGGCTGCCCCCCTTCAGCCTCTCAGGGGAGGCACGCGTAGAGGGGGCAGGGGGCGCGGCCCCCCCCTCGTACGCCCCTGGAGAACTGAAGAAGGACATGANATAAATACTTTTTAGAGCTGAGGTCGAGAGAAAATTTTTAACCTTATTCAAGGAAAACATAGACTTTGAGATTTTATTTAGAGCAGTTTTAATGTGATAATCAAAAGTGAGGTTTTCATCAACGTAAACACCAAGAATTTTATATGCAGGACAGGGGGCAGAATTATTATGAATTCTCTCGATGGGATAAATTAATTAATTAATTATGCTTTATTATGATATTAAAAGCATTTTGCAGTTTATTTCGTTGAAAAAATCTTTTGCTCAAATAAATTTTTCTTTGAAATCAATTTTACTATCAAATGACTCCCATACACTATTTATACTAATGTCTTTGGTATCACACAACTTAACAAATTATGGAAGAAAACATTCTAAACTGTTCACCAACTGCAGTTATGTTTCGTGGGACACCCTCTAACTCTGGTTAGTTTTATGTGTTTGATTTTAAGAATTTATAAAATTCAACATTTATATTTTTCAAGGGGTTTGTTTGGATTAAAAATATAGAATAGTTGTGAAATGCATTAATTAGAATCATTTAAAGGGACTGTTAATGTAATTTTATATGACCCTTCAGATAAACAGTAAAATCCTGGTTTCATGATTCCTTTCATGCATTATATTAATATGTTTAATGAGAATCATTATAGTTTCAGTAGAAATAAATATTTAAATTTACTGATAGCGCTGATTGAAGGAATTATAAATCTGATTGAATAATGAGATAGATAGAAAGATAAATGTTACCGCCATACTATTTCTATTGGTTCAGAATAGACAACAAACACACGACTGAACCCTGATTGGATCAGGCGTTAATGGACTCGGCATACAGGAGTGGACTGTCATCTTGATTGCAATTAATATTCAGATAAAAGATAAACAACCCTATTCACTCCACTCTTTAA